CTTGAAACTCGGGTTCCACACCACATTCTTTTGGACATGTGGCATGTGACACATGGCATATGAAGGGTTTAAGTTCCACTTCGTGGTGTTATCCTATAGTAAATCACTATAGGATAAAGGGTCAAAACCACATGCGCTACATTGACTTTGTGAAAGAGGTGGAATTGGAGATCAAAGTTCTCACAAAACTCAAAAGCAAAGAAAAAAGTGGTGTAATTTAGCTAGTGGGGGTATTCAATGATAAAGAATACTATCATTTAATTACAAAGTTGTGTCAATGTTTGTTAATGTTGAAAGACAAGAAGAAGTTAAGTTAGTCATGGTGATCAAGAAAGTAGTCAAGACCATGGGTGAGATGCACAACATGTATATAACTCACAGGGATATCAAAACATCTTCCTAGAGTTTAATAAAGTTGTTTGATAGTATGAAGTTGACAAACTTTAGACTGTGTTGTTGCAAGAGGGGCCACAGGTAAAATTTAAAATAAGAATAAAAGGCTAAGTTGGGATAGAGGCATAAAATGGCCTAGAGATAGTGGTTCTTGATGATGATGAGTATGACAAGATGGTAGATGAGTGGGGTGTGGGCATTGTCTGGGAAGCTTGCATTCTAGGGAAGAGCATCCATGGGTCGTCAAGCATTCAGAGCTAAACTTATTTTTTAATAATGTTTTAGCATTTTATTCTTAGTTTGCTTTAGAAAATCTACTTGTAATGCACATTCCTAAATTTTTTAAGTATATTCTAGAAATGTTTTTAATTCTGTGATTTTATAGTTTTTTTCTAATCAGGTTTATTATTTACTTGTAAAGCTTAGAAACTATATTAGAATACTAGTAATTGCTCAGAAAAATTTAATTAGTTAGCAAAACTTTTCACCATAACATTAATTCCTTGTTTTCAAACAATTCACTTCAATTCTCTTAATTACACTATTTATCATTTTGTTATAAAAGAATCTGACAGAACCCTAAAGGCAAAAAAAATTGAGGAGAGAGAATACCCTTTTGCTTACCAATTGCAAAAATGGGAAAATTACACCTTCAGTTCATATATTAGGAAAATGAGCAATGATGCAATTTTGACAAGCTTACTTACGAGAGCTTATATGAGCTTCTGGGATAGAGCGTGATTGCTTTGGCTGACCATCATAGAGTGAGAAAAGACCTAGAGATTACTCAATTATTAGACGTTTTAGGAAAAAGTAGTGAAAGAAGAAATACACACTAAAGTGTTAGTATTCATAATCTTAATAGTATATTTACACCATTTCTCTATGTGAAGTTTGATCTCTGGTGATGGTAGTGGTGCTCTGCAAGTCACACATGTAATCTCATATCAAAATTAAGTGGATCCTAACCAACACCCAGCAAAAGAGAGGGAGCTAAACCATGTGTTGAGAGCAAAGTATGTAGGACGATTAATTTAGGGGCAAGATAAATTGATGACATATGTTGCAATTCCATTTTTCTCCAAAATAGCAATACCTTTTTTCCATCTCAGCCAGTCTTGATTGATCATCTAAACATCAACTTAAATTTTCATACAATCATGTTTACCAAGATTAACTCTGAGACTAGGATCTAACAACTAGTGAGCCTACCCCTTAGACTAGCAAATGCTAGGCATTTTAGAAAGAGATTTAATATAAAACCTCTTTATAGATAGTGTTAATTGTAAAAATAAAACAAGTGAAATTTGCCAAAAGACAATTTCCAATCCATTAGATTATTGATTAATAATCTTTAAATGCATTTGACCGAGTTGGAATTTACTTGTGCTACCACATTTTGAATGGAATTTCCATATCTTATGGCATTAGTGTGATACACATGATAAAAACTTTTATCCCTTTAAATTGCCCCATCACAATTTCATAATCTAAACCATCTAGTAGTGCAATTTTTAGAACAAAAGCCATTGCATAATCATGATGATAGAAGACATTTTTTAGGAGAATAAGAATAACACTTTATTTGAGAGAGAGTTTATGTGGTGGGAGACTAAAAGGTGTAATAAAATTTAAAAATTCTATTGGAAAGTTTTTAGAATGTTCAATGCCAACAAAAATTAACACATTCATAAAGAAATTATTTTATTCTTCAGTTTTTTCAATCATTAAACTTAAATTAGATAAATTTGCAATTCAGGCATGTCCATCATTCCTGGACTTCCAGATGAGCTGGTGTTGGAACATGTCCTGCCGTGGGTACCACCATCTGCAATGCTGACTTCCAAAGCCTTTGAGCGCAGGATTAGAGAGTTAAAGGAGAAGCGACTACTGATTTTTGGTTGGAGTCAGGGCTTGATCTGCGGTTGCAAACTTGGCGACGTATTGAACTTCCTCCAGGAGTCAAAGCAAATTGCTTCTGTGAAGGTAGAGAGCTCTACGGCTTCTTTTCTGAAAAATTCACTCTGGAAAGATGTTGTCGGGTGCTGGCTAGATTAGATGACGATTTCTTCAGTAAGGGCAAGAAGGCTGCCTGGAACCAATTAATCCAGTGGTGTGGTAGTACATGGAAAACGTCCTACTTTTACCCGACACACCTAATCTCTGGCCAAGGAGGACATGTTCGGAAGATCTATTTTAGCAGAGTCTCAAATTTCTTGGCAGCAACCGAGATTTATGTCCCATCCAAAGATGGTGAAGCTATCGAGTATCACAAGTTCGACCATGGAAAATACAGCTGGATTTCCTCAAGGCTGATTGACAAGTTGGGGCTACAAGGAGATAAAAATTTTGTGTGTGTGACGAAATACCATGGTCTGTATGCTGCGGTATGGAACGAGGCAGAGGGTCAGTTGAGTATTTGTCATGGCACTTGTCCAGCAAGCTCCAGGTCGTGGAAAACATTGTTCTACCCGTGGAACAGAGGGTTGGACATGGATAGCCTTATCTGGGCAAAAGTTAGTGACATCCTTGACAAGTTAGTGGATTCAAAGTTGATGAGCTTGGATGCCAATACGTTTAACTCTATGGTGTTGAAGACGGATGTTTTGAAAGAGCAGAAAGCAAAGCTTAACTTTGGGATGCAATCAAAAAGATTTTATATGGGCAACAGGTAGCGGAATTGGATATCAAGTTCAGATTAACCCAAGTGGAACTAAATTCAAAAGAACTGATCTCCAAGTTGAAAGTCACCCTATTACGGAAACATGTTTAAACAACTGTGGATTGATACGACTTTACGATGACGATGAAGATGAAGATTAGCAAAACCAACGAACAAAAGAGAAGAAATGAATGAGCAAAGAGAAGAAAGGAACGAGCACAGAGAAGAAAACAAATAAATAGAGTTCTCCCGTGATAAAATTTGCACTCGGGGAATTTAATGAACCATCAGAATTTGATAGCTGTTAGAGGTTTTTATATGATCTTCCAATTCCGATGGGCGAATTTACGAAAATGGACCAATCTTTCTCTCAAAAGTTTGCATCATACCTTTGTTCCAGGTCCTGACCAGGCCATCCGATTTGGAGTCCGAGCTCTGTGAATGCACCACCTCCGAGCGACGAGCATCCGGGTCCTGAAAAACCGGCATTTTAGAAAGAAAGAAAGGACGATTGGATATCAAGGAAGAGGAGATAGAGTTCATATATCCGGCACATGGCATACTGCTTGAACGAAGGCCTGGAAGATCTTTGACAAGATCAGAGGCAGGAGCCCCAGCGACGAATCCAGCCAGAAATCCCAGCAGCAGCACGGATGGACGAGGCCCTACATTATCAAAATGGCCAAGAGACAGTCTATCAAAGGGAGAGTAAATAAAGGAAGACATCCAAAAGGCCCGCGGTAAAGAATGGGTTTTTTTTCGTGTGCTCTGAGTGGGAGAACAAGATAAACTGCTTGTACTTCTCCAACGCGGTGCCTCTTTTCATCTCGGCCATTGTAAACGCTCGCGAGAGCACTCCGGGATTGGTAGGTTGAGGCCATGCAGCAGGAGTTATGGAAATGAATCCGATGACGAAGTCCTGATGGTCTGCGGCCATTTCGCTGCTGCTGCTGCTGTGTAGTCGCCCTGTGCCAGAATTCCTTTGGGGCCAGTAGCAGCAAACCCCCTTCGTAGTGTAGAGTTTACCATGAAAGCTTGAAACTTTCCGGAACTTCTAACCTTGAGCTTGAGACAGGCACTATGTGCGCGTTTGTGATGTCCGACCAGTCCACAAGACCTCTACAAAGTAAAACTTGGCTTTGAGTACAAAACATCGAAAGAAGGATTGTAGAGAAACACTGGAACTTCAGGCCAAGTCACAAGCAAGAGCTCGCTAACGAATTTGCAAGGATACACATTCATCATGTTTCTGGCGCGTTCTTCTTGCACAGCTCCTGTGGTTAATGCAAGAATGACCATCGATTGACCAAGAGGACTGGACATTTTCTATGGTCCTTCCTTGGACAGGACTCCACCGCCTGGTTTGTCTTTTTAAGACACTCTTCACTCTAGAAAAAACGTAGAGCCAGAAAACGTTTCGGGTTTCTTGATATGGAGGATTGGCAACTACTGCATAGAAATGCTGCTTGAACTTGTCCGGCAGATCTTCAGGATGGTTGTAGTTGTGTATGTGAACTCAGAACCATAACGAGAGAAGTGATGATCATACTCAAAAGAGTAGCGCACTCACTTCCACAAAAGATTTGCATCGCAAGCATAGCAATAATTAAGAAAAATTCTAAGAAGTTCCATAAACCTTAACCCTAAAACAGTCCAAAGGTAAAGATGTGATTTGATGCTTGCGATGCGAATATGATTCCAAGCATTGGAATGTGATGACGTGCCGGAGGAAAAAAACCTTTGTGGCTTATCTAAGGATAAAGCGGCATTCCTCGGCCACAAAGCCCAGCGGACGGTCACGATTGGCGCTTCGCGCCATTCAAAGGCGGTGACCGCCGGAGACTATGAGCCACTCGTCCCGGCCATCTCCAGCCGTTCATTTGCCCTGGTTATTATCATAACCCCCCATGGTAATCTAATGCCAGCGGACTTCTTAAGGAGAGTGAGAAGGGAATAGTCTAGGCTAAGCTCGAGGCCATGGCGTCTATCCAGTGCAATGCCGGGCGGCTCGCGGCGTCGGCGCCCTCCCTCGCGACCTCCTCGCAGCCGGATCGCGTCGCCAGCGCCCGATTCGCCTCCTACACAGGTCTGCGCCAGGCATCGAAATCGCTCTTCGCCGGCGCCTCCTCGCCACAGATTCGTGCGCTGCCGATTCACAGATCTGGCAAGGCGTCGGCGACGGCCGTGGTGGAGACCGCGCAGAAGGCCGACACCAAGCTGATCGATCTTTCCGTCAACACGATCCGGTTTCTTGCCGTGGATGCCGTGGAGAAGGCGAATTCCGGCCACCCGGGGCTGCCGATGGGATGCGCTCCAATGTCTCACATTCTTTTCGACGAGGTCATGAGGTTCAATCCCAAAAACCCTTACTGGTTCAACAGGGATCGCTTCGTTCTCTCGGCTGGTCACGGATGCATGCTCCAATACGCCCTTCTCCATCTTGCTGGCTACGACAGTGTCAAGGTAGGCTCTCCATTGATCTAGTTTCGAGCTTTTCTATCAAAGTTCTTCCTTTCAACATGGATTTCTTGTTTGTTTCCAGGAAGAGGATTTGAAGCAATTCCGTCAATGGAGCAGCAGAACTCCTGGTCATCCAGAGAACTTCGAGACTCCCGGCGTGGAAGTCACGACTGGTAATTGTTGACTCACTCGTGTTGAATGGTTGTTGATTGTGGCTTGCTTTTCAAACAGGACCTCTTGGCCAAGGTGTTGGGAATGCGGTCGGCTTGGCTCTTGCTGAAGCAAATCTCGCTGCTCGCTTCAACAAGCCAGACGCTACAATTGTCGACCACTACACGTAAGTTCTCAGTTTTCTCGTTTGTGCGCGTTTCCTCTAAGAGATTTTTCCTCATTTTTCCTCACAGCTATGTGATTCTCGGGGATGGCTGCAACATGGAAGGCATTTCTAACGAGGCAGCGTCTCTTGCCGGACACTGGGGACTGAACAAACTTATTTGTTTCTACGATGACAACCATATCTCTATCGACGGGAGCACTGACATTGCGTTCACAGAAGATGTCGAGAAGAGGTTCGAGGCTCTTGGCTGGCACACAATCTGGGTAAAGAACGGAAACACTGGCTATGATGAGATTAGAGCTGCCATTGCTGAAGCTAAGACGATTAAAGACAAGCCAACCATGATCAAGGTATACGAGTCATTATTGTTATGATTTGTCATTGCCTTCTATTTTTTCTCTTAGGTGACGACCACAATCGGATATGGTTCGCCGAACAAGGCCAATAGCTACAGTGTCCACGGCAGTGCACTAGGCTCGAAGGAAGTTGATGCTACGAGAAAGAACCTTGGCTGGCCTTATGAGCCATTCGTTGTTCCGGAAGAAGTAAAGAGGTATATTTTGTCACATGATCATCGGGCTCGAAATGGTTCACTTGTAATTCTTTTTCAGCCACTGGAGCAAGCACACCAAACTAGGAGCTGACTTGGAAGCTCAGTGGGAGGCCAGCTTGGCTGCTTATGAAAAGAAGTATCCAACAGAAGCTGCGGAGTTCAAACAGCTCATTAGTGGGGAGCTTCCAGACGGCTGGGACAAAGCTCTGCCGGTAAAACTTTCAGATTTGTTCATCCATGGTTTCTTAATTTCCTGTTCTCAGGTCTACACTCCTGAAAGCCCCGGTGACGCCACCAGGAACCTTTCACAAACCAATCTCAATGCATTGGTCAAGGTTCTTCCAGGACTTATCGGCGGCAGTGCCGATCTCGCCTCGTCCAACATGACACTGTTGAAGGCCTATGGCGATTTCCAAAAGAGCACCCCCGAGGAAAGAAACGTCCGGTTCGGCGTGAGGGAACACGGAATGGGAGCTATTTCCAACGGCATCGCTCTCCACGGCAGCGGCCTCATCCCCTACTGCGCAACGTTCTTCGTGTTCACAGACTACATGCGTGGAGCCATCCGGCTGTCCGCACTCGCCGAAGCCGGAGTTATCTACGTCATGACGCACGACTCCATCGGTCTCGGCGAGGACGGCCCGACTCACCAGCCGATCGAGCACCTGGCCAGCTTCAGAGCAATGCCAAACATCTTCATGTTCCGGCCAGCCGACGGCAACGAGACGGCGGGCTCGTACAAGGTGGCAGTGCTCAGCAGGAAGACCCCCTCGATCCTGGCTCTCTCCAGGCAAAAGCTCCCTCAGCTGGCCGGCTCTTCGATCGACGCAGTTTCCAAGGGCGCCTACATCCTCAGCGACAACTCGTCCGGAAACAAGCCGGACCTCATCTTGATAGGCACCGGCTCCGAGGTGGAGATCGCTGCAAAGGCCGCGGACGTGATCAGAAAGGAAGGCAAGAGCGTGAGGGTGGTCTCGTTCCCGTGCTGGGAGCTGTTCGAGAAGCAAAGTGACGAGTACAAGGAGAGCGTCTTCCCGAGCGAAGTGACTGCCCGAGTGAGCGTGGAGGCCGGGTCGACGTTTGGATGGGGGAAGTACGTTGGAAGCCGGGGTGTGGCGATCGGACTGGACAGGTTTGGAGCGAGCGCTCCGGCAGGAACTCTGTACAAGGAGTTTGGATTCACAGTTGACAACGTTGTTGCGAAGGCAAAGTCGCTGCTGTGATCTCTTCACATCCAATCCAGCAAAGAAGTTCCTTGGCGAAGTTTTTTTTCTTCACGCGAGAGAGGAGGAGCTAATGAATCCGCTGACACTATTCTTATAAGTTTTTTTTTTTTCTTGTTAGATTTTTTTTCTTGCAGTTAAGCATGAAGAAGAACGAAGAAAAAAAAAACCAAGCAAATCGGGAAGAGCGTTTCGAAAAAATTGTGGCCGGTTTTGTTGCTGTAACGTTGCCAGGCTCTCTTTGTTCTATTCTATATGATTAAACGAAGTAATAAACCACAGACCAAAAGAGGCTATTGGAATAAGACTGGTTTTCGATTCGATTCTTACAGCTCAAAAGGAAGAGGGCGCGTCGCACGACGACGATGGATAAGCTTTGATTTCTCAATGGCCGTACGGGCCACAGGCATGGCCGCCACTGGCATTTGTGGACCACAGGGCGGCTGAGAGAGAAACCCTAGTTGTAGAGCTTTCCTCGCGCAGGCGCGCGCTAGGGCAGCCTAGGGTTTTGGGAATGGCAGGGCCCCTGCAAGGTCCAGCAGCAGGATCGCTGGATCGGACTCCCTACGGCACAGGTCGCGGCGCTGCTGCTGGAGGGAAGATCAGGTCGGCGCGGCACCACCAGAATTTCAATCAGGATCATCAGGTCTCCAAGCCCGGGGGAGTGAGGAGAGGGCCGTATGACAGGCCCGTAGGGCGGAATCCTCCGCAGCCGGCGGCTCGGCGAGGTGCTTGGATTGGATCCAGGATTCTCAGCGGCGCTTCGTCCTTCTTGTCTTCCCTCTTCCGCCGGGACGGCGACGAGACGCTTGCGCTGCCGGCGCCGCCACCGCCGCAATCTTATCAGGTGAGGAATGGGATTTTGGCAGCTGACTGACTGTAGATTTTGATGCTCGTCAGGAGGGTTTAGTGAATCACGATGTGAATTTTGGGGGCTCGGGAGACCAGATTGAGGATTTGCTCAAGGACCGGATTTTTACAAGGTATTTGTGGTGTGCTCTGTGTGTTCCTACTGACCTTGGTTTTTACCAGGGAGCAATGTGACCGCTTTATCAAGGTTTTGCAGTCCAAGCTCCAGCCCACTATTCCTAATGGTCTTGTTGGTGATCGAGATCAGCGCTACCCAGAGGATGAGCTGGAAAGAGAACGGGAGAATGAAGGGGAACGAGATCGACTTGCGCAAAGGAACATGGTATGTATAAAGTCCTTGCTACTCATTTTGCTGTTGGTCTCATGATAATACTTTTGGTGGTCTTTCAGGACCATCATGAAGACAGTGGGTCTTCGCCTGTTGACATCGCCAAGGCTTACATGGATAAGCGTTTGTCACCTGTTCCTGCGTCTGTATTTCCTATTAGAACTTTGGACTATGAGCGTACACATGAAGAGTACCGAGCTACTACTCCTCGAGTGGCTCCGACACCGCTTTCTCATATCAGAATAGCTACGCCGGGGCATACACCATATGTAAGACTGCCCAAACAACGCCCAAACAACGTGCGTGCGACTCCATATCCTGTGGAGGTTCGTGGTTGATTTTCTCTTTGGTGCTTGCATTTCTTACAACTTGTTTTCCGCAGAAAAAGAGACGTGTGGACGATGAGCTAGAATACACTGGGCGTCGTACAAAGTTGAAAATGACTCCAGCAAATGGCCCGCCTGTTTCGCTACTGCCGAGCGCGTCCAACGGAGGCTTCGCTGGTAGTTATTCCGATCGAATGAAAAATCTTCAAAGAAAGAGATGGGAGAAACGGAGTAAAGAAGATTCTGCAGCGGCCGTGCCAATGCAATCGTCAGAAACAGCCAGGAGAATTCTTGAGACACTCGAAATCTTGACACCGCCGAAGGTCATGTCTCTAGAGGAAGAACTTGCTGTCGTCAGGGAGAAGCGGCCAAAGGAACTATCACCTTCGATGATGAGCGAGCAGGCACGAAAAACTGAGCTGACTTTGGAATGCCCGCTTTCCGACGCTTTACAAGATCATTCTCCCAGCCACCGTGCTACTGAAACTGGAGAGCCATCGTCATCAGCAGCCCCAGTAACAACGTCGGCTGAGCCAGCTGAAAACGATGCTAAGGGTAAAGCGGTTACGACGTCACCCGAGCTAAGTTCTCGTCCGTGGTCGCCTGTCTCGGCACAAATGACCAAAGGATTTCGTATGAATGCCGCTATGGAGGTAAGCTTTTGTTGTAAGAAGGGAACTTTGTGCTTACATTTTGTTGCTGTTATCGCAGGAGTCCAATTCTGATGATGAGGTCCAACCGATAGCAACCCCAGCAGTGTCTACACCCTCCGAAACAAAAACAACACAACTTTTTGCATCTCCAAGCTCTGTAGCTGACAGTAAGCCATCTTCTCCGCCTTTGGCCACTCTTACTGTACCGGCGGCCGAAAGCAAGAGTATGTTTGCATTTTCTACCGCGCCAGCGGCAGAGAAGAAAGCAACTTTTGAGGTGCAGAATACTCAGACGTCGTCGCTTTTATTTACAACTTCTCCAGCAACCAGTACGGCTGCAGAAACGAAGTCAACTCAACTATTTGGATTTGCAACTGACAGTAAACCAGCATTTGCGCTTGCAGCAACTTCTACTGTTGCAGCGACCGAAGGCAAGGCTACTGTTGCGTTTCCTAGCACAGCAGTGGCAGAGAAGAAGCTATTCGCTGGGTTCGAGAGTTCTCATTCGACAGCACCTTCATTCACAGCTGCAAGTAAATCGGGTCCTCTATTTATGGCAACGACAGAGACAAAATCAACTCAACCATTTGGATCTTCGAATGACAGTGGGACACTGTTTGCATTTGGCGCAGCTTCTACTGCACCGGTGGCTGAGAGCAGAGGTGCCTTTGGATTCTCTAGCGTTCCAGTGGTGGAGAAGAAATCAGCGTCCGAGTTTCCGACGCAGGAGATTAAATCATTTACCACTCCTTCAGCTGTCAGTAAAGCCGTCGAAACGAAATCAACTCCGCTTTTCGCATCGTCAAGCTCTGCAACGGACTTTACTCCTTCCACAACCACTCCTGCAATGCCGGCAGCTGAAAGCAAGGCTACTTTCGCATTCTCGAGCGCTCCAGTGGCGGAGAACAAAGCGAGCTTCGAGTTTTTGGCCTCTCAGACATCAGAGACAAAGCCGGCTTTTTCATTCATCGCCACTCCAGCATCAGCTACAGGTAAACCGGCGTTTGCACCCGTCCCGGCAGCTGAAAGCAAGCCGGCCTTTTCATTTACGAACGCGCCACCAGCGGAAAAGAAGGCAGGCTTTGAGTTTGGAGGCGTAACAGCGCCGGCATCTTTCACCTTTGGTTCCAACACAAACACCAGCCCGAGTATCTTCGGCATAGCTTCCTCAGCACCTTCTCCCACCACAGGCACGAGCTCTGCCTTGGGAACCGGGGACATGGAACAGGACATGGCCGAAGAGCCCGCGAGTGCTGTCCAGACGTCGCAGCCTGTAGCGTTCGGCAACACTCCGGTCCCGGCGGCTCAACCGTTCGTGTTTGGAAGTCCACCAGCACTGCCAACGTTTGGAGCGGCGTCGGCTCCCGACTTTGGTGCTCAGCAGACATCGGCACCGGCATTTGGAGGCTTTGGATCGCAGCCATTTAGTTCTCAGTCTTCACCTTTCGGAGCTGCGGCTACTTCCGGCAGTGCTACCACCCCAGCGTCGGTTCAACCCTTCGTGTTTGGAAGCTCTCCGCCAGCACCAGCGTTTGGAGCGGCGTCAGCGCCTAGCTTTGGTGGTGGCAGTCCGCAAGCCAACCCGTTTGCGTCGCAGCCGCCGTTTGGTTCTCAGCCTTCGATCTTCGGCGCCCAGCAACCGGGGGCTGGAGCTACCCCGGCCGCTCCGGTGTTTGGATCTCAACCAGCAGGGGCGAATCCATTCAGTGGCTTTAGCGGATTTACAGTGGGAGCAGGGAATGCAGATGGCGAGCAGCGGACGAGGAAGCTTTTCAAGGCGAAGAGGACGGGTGCTTCGAAGAGGGGGAAGTGAGAGGAAGAGGAACAGGAAATGGTGGTGGTGGCGGTGGCGGTGGCGACGGTGGCAGTGATTCTGGCTGGAGCTTAACAGGGAAGAAGAGAGGACGCTGGTTTTTCAGGCAGGACTGACTCTTGATCGATCGAGCTAGCGAAGTTCCAGCGAAGAAAACTCTCTCGATCGTTCGAGCTAGCGAAAATCCGGAGAGAGAGCTATTTTGCAGAGGTTGTCATGTTGATTGGAAAGTAAGCTATAGTTTTTTTAAATGAGAATGGATGGATCCGCTATGATTTTCTTGGCCTTTATTTTTCTGTTAGTTTAGTTACGATGGAAGGAAATTAGGGCTCCTGGTGCTTGGCTATGAGGCGTATTTCCTGGGCGGGAAGGAACGCGGGTATGGCGCTGTCGATGCAGCAGGACAAGGCCGTCACGGCGATCGCAGCGGCCGCCGCAGCTGGATGTAGCTTGTCCCAGCAGCAGCCATGGCAGCGGCGAGCTTCGGCCGGATTCGCGAGGCGCCAGGGCGGATTTGATGTCTTGAGGTTTGCTTTTGGGGGCCGTGAGAGGCGGCTTCAGCATGGCATGCCGCGGCAGTCGGTGCTGTTCTCCAAGCTGCCCTTTGATGAGATTGCCTCGCAGTTTTCTACGCGAGGTAAGAATGTAGCTTGGAATTTTTGGTGAGGTGTTGCTGATCTCTCTATCTCTTGAAGCGTCCGAAGAGACAACGCATGTTACTTTCGATGAATCGGCTGTTTCCCTCCCACAACCGGCCAAGAAGTTTTCCACGCACAACTCAGCTTGCAAAAATGGCGAAGAGGTTTGCAAAAAAAAAATTCCTTCTCTATATACTGAAGTCTCAAGCTTGCAGGGGTGCCAGAATGCTGAAACGGATTCTACCAGCCGGTGAGCTTGTTTACTTTTCGCGTGGCCATTGGTGAAATTCATGGTGTTCTTGCTTTTTAAGGTTGCTTCGACTCGACTATGCTGCCGCGATGCATCCCCATCCTGAGAAGGTGCAAAGCTTACTTGCTAATTTTTGTAGATCTTCTAAGCTTTGCTGTTTACAGGCTCAAAGAGGGGGTGAAGATGCTTTCTTCACTGAAGGCTCCTGGATGGGTGTTGCTGATGGTGTTGGGGGCTGGGCCGGAGAAGGTAAGACAAATCTTTCTTTGAGTCTGTTTCTTCAAAAGAGTTTTTACTGGTTTTCAGGCATTGATTCGGGGATGTATTCTCGGGAGCTTATGGGACATTGTAAGGCATTGGTTGTAAACAGCAAAGGGAAACCGGACCCCAAGGACGTGCTTGTCAAAGCCGCCGGCAGTACAAAGGCCCAGGGATCAGCAACGGTCCTTGTGGCTGCATTGTTTGAGCAAGTAAGCTAGTCGGATTTGATGTTTGAGGCTGAGTCGGGTCATATGTTTCAGACACTGTACGCAGCAAACTTGGGAGACTCGGGGTTCATCATAGTTCGCAATTGGCAAGTAGTTGCAAGCTCGGAGCCCATGCAGCATAGTTTTAACTTTCCGTTTCAAGTTGGAACCTTTGGTGACCATCCGACGGTTGCAGAGGTACTCTTGCTTCTTTTCCCTTAAGTTCGCTAATTTTCCGTCTACAGGAATTCAAGATCCCTGTCTGCAAGGGTGACATTATTGTTTTGGGAACTGATGGCCTTTTTGACAATCTCTTCAGCGACGACATAATCGAAGTTCTTAAAAAATCTCTTGGGTCCGACCAAGTCAACTTGAAGGTGAACTCTCGCTGTTGAAGAATCTCAAGATTGCTGATAGTCTCTTCACTTTACAGGCAGCTGCAGCAGACCTTGTAGCTGGGGCGCAGGCCGAGCGTTTGGACAGCCCGTTTGCCAGGGCGGCTGCAAAGGCGAGAATGAATTGGAGCGGTGGAAAGCTAGATGATACCACGGCAGTTGTGGCGTTTGTGACGTGATATTTGAGTCGCGAAGGGTAAACATTTCAAGCAGTTTTTGCGGAGGCCAGTGTAAATTGCTCAGGCCGTTAATTTTTGCGGTATTTCCGGTTCTTACGCTAATTGAGGTATGACATCCTTTTGATTTGATTCAAACCGCTCATTCTTTGTGTCTTTGGTGTCCAGCCTTCATTAGAAACTGGTTTAAATCGCAGGTAGCTGCTGCTGAATCTTCCTTTTAGAAATCAAGGTTTTGTTCCATCAGAAGGTTCACAGACTGGAAGTTCTAACCTCACTGGAGATTGAACACCGGACAGGACAGGTATCTCTTCTGTTTAGAGGGAACTGCTCAGGGTCACTTGAGGTGTTAGACATGTAGTTTAGCTGGACGATCACGAGCAAGCTCAAGATACTCAAGCTCTCCGGCAACATGATCTCTGGCTCGTCCTTCTCGGGGGTACATCGAGCTGCTAGGCCTTTGGCACGATGGGATCTTTTGCGACTGCGTGGCTCTCCAGGAGCTCTTCAACAGTCTCACATCCTCGTCCAGCAGCAAACTCCAGAATGTCATGCTCGGCCCTACATCTCTCAGCCATCCAAGTGGGTGTGCGGGCTTGGAAGTGCTCGAACAACGTTTCAGAGGAGCTCGTGTGGGCTGTATCTTGTCTCTCAGCTTGGGCAGACTCTTTGAGTTTGCTCGGATCTCTCGGAGAACCGGTTGGAGGTTCTGAAGGACTAAGTGGTGGAAACCCTGCTACGGTCGGATAGCAACAAAGAGCTCACGGAGAACAGCTTGAAGGACAGCTCCAGGCGAGCTCGTGTGGAGGATCCTTGGATACCGCTCTCGTCCCAGTACCGTGAGACTCCACCAGAAAGATGGTGAGGAAGGTGGCGACAAGCCAATTGGCTGGAGCCGTGACTTCCTTCTTTGTCTCGAGTATTTGGTCGCGTGTCCCGTCCACATGGTGAGCCACGGAATTGTTTCTTAGTTGCTCAAATCTTAATTCTTTCTGATCTCCAGGTTGGTAATCACCATCACCAACTAAGAGGAATTTTTTGCATTGAGGCTTTGGAGTTCGGTAGGCGGCGAAGAAAAACTTTCCAGGATCGGAGGATGAAAAGTTACAGCCCGAGCTTGCTGTTCTTCGTGCTCCTCTTCTCCGCTGCGGCACTGCTACTCGTATGGATTCTCGACGTAAATTCCGACTCCGCGATGATGTCCCGGAGCCGAACTCTGGGATCAAACTTCCGCATCAGCAACAACACCACAAGCTACAACGGCAGCGACACTTGCAGGAGTAGGAACGAGTACGACGTCTACAGCCGCCGAAGATCGACGAGCTTCGAGCCATCCGAGTCGCTCCACCGGAAAATCCTAGAGTACGAGGCTTTGCACGGGAGGTGCGCTCCGGGGCCCGAGCAGTGCGCGAACTGTAGTACATGCGGCTACCTCGTCTACGTTCCCGCCAGCCAGGGGATCGGAAACAAGATGGTGGCTATAGTAGCAGCGTTTCTCTACGCGCTGCTCACCGACAGGACGATGCTGATCGCGAGGTTGGAGAATCTGGACACGCTCTTCTGCGAGCCGTTTCCATCCAGCTCCTGGCTGCTGCCGTCGAGCTGGAAGCACCTCGAGTTGGCGCCGTGGGACGCCTCCAAGTGGATTGGGAGCCTGGCTGGTTCGCCCAACTGCAGCCGCGGCGTCGACGTGAGCTTCCCCGAGGTGGTGGTGGCCTATCTCGATTACAACTACAGGGACCAGGACAAGGCCTTCTTCTGCCAAGATCAACAGCAAGCTCTCAACTCCAGCGCGCGGTGGATCGTCCTCTCCTCCGGCCAGTACTTCACTCCGGCGCTCTACAACGTCCCGGCTTTCAGGAGCAAGCTCGAGGAATGGTTCCCACAGCAGGAGGCCATCTTCCATCTCCTGGTGAGGTACCTGTTGCTTCCCAGTGACTTCGTGTGGGACAAGGCAGCCAGGTACTACGACGCGTACCTGAACCAGGCCGAGCTTCTAGTCGGGGTCCAGCTGCGAAACCACATCTGGTTCTCGCCACCCAACCTCGCCGAGGATACGTTCGACTGCCTGGTGCAACAAGGCGCGCTCGCAAACACCACCCAGGAGCGAGCTCCCAGATCGCCGGTGAGGAAGAACAGCAAGAAGGTGGCGGTGCTGGTGGTGTCGCTCAACTCGCAGTACTCGGAGACGCTCAAGAGCAAGGTGCTGGGATACGATCTAGCGGACGGCTCCTCGGTGTCCATCCACCAGCCGAGCGTGGAGGGGGTGCAAAACACAGGGAACTTGGATCACGACGCACAGGCGGTGATGGAGATCTACTTGCTGTCGATGAGCGATGTCCTGGTGACGAGCCCGCCATCCACGTTTGGCTACTCGGCGGCGGGGCTGGCGGGGATGAGGCCCGTGCAGTTCGTGTGCGACCAGAACAAGAGCGTGGTTTGCTCGGTGAGGGAGACGATGGAGCCGTGCTACCACGTTTATCCGGCTCAGTTCGCGCTGGACAACATTGAAAAGTGCGAATGCGGCGTGGGTTTCAGACTAGTCTAAAGGACGTTCTTAGAAAGGATGTTGTCTTAGAAAGTTGTTAAAGCTTTAAGATTTTATTTTCTTTCTCGTGATAGATTTCTAAGTTGCTCCTTGGGTGCATCACGGAAATCTAGCGTCATTTGTAGACTTGCGTGGTCAGGTCATACTCTTGGCCCACGCAAAGAAATCCAGGTAATTTGGTACCAAGAGCTTATAGACTTCAAATGGCGAGCTGTCTTTTGTGCAGGACTTTGAAAAACTGCTCGTATAGTGTTCTGGCGTGGAAGCTAACGAGTCTTTTTGACAAATGGCACGCGCAAAGGACTTGACTGTTTACCAAGCCCGGTGGAGAACTTTTTGTGTGAATATAAAACACTGGAGGCCCATTGGATCCAATCGTATCGGAGCAAGCACAGCTCTTGGTTCTTATACAACGATATCATCACTACGTTTAGTGCTTTGTGGCTGGAATGGATCGTGGAAGGATGCTTCTTGCCATCGCATTGGTGATCATGATCAGCGGCAACATCGAATGTTCCAGGCCGGGCTCGTTTTCGGTGATGAGCCAGCAGGCCGAGCTTTTCAATTCCGAATTGCGCCTTCCTGTTGTTAACAAGATCCACAATCTTTTCGAAAGGACCTTCCGGAGAATGCTCATCCAGGGTCAGCCCACGCCATCCTCCGGCCCTTCCTGGTGCTGCCACGACCATCCATAGCATTTTCCTAAAACGATTTTTCATTTCAATACCACCATTATTTGGCTAATTGAAGGGGCGGACAGCCACGTGGCTGACAAGTCACGCTGGGAGACGGCGGCGAATTCTCCTCCAAATCCTCCGCCTCCACCCCTTTCCCCATTCTTCCCCACCTCCGCTTCCTCCCATTACAGTCACAGCTTGCGTCCATGAGGCGCTTGTCTCACCAAGGTGAAGGGGAATGATAAAGGCATCTTTCCATTTTTCCCTGTCAACTTCAAGAGACTTGAGAGCTGCTTGGAATTCCCCGAAGTTCCAGTCCAGCAAGTAAAGTCTCCACAAGACTTTCAGGGATGTCTTGTACAGCTGCGAACAATCAGCCGTGGTGGTGGCTTGCCCTTGTTCTGGCGAGAAGATCTGCAAAGAGGAGCGGCTGCAGTGAGTCTCGAAGATTCGCAGGTCGTTCGGATTGGGCATGGCTTGAGGGCCGGGCAGGGCAGGAGGGACAAGAGCCGGTGGTGCTAGAACAAGCTGCAGAGGGAAGTGGGCAGCACTGGCAAAGGCAGATTTTTTCCCACTTGACGATGGAGTCTCATTGAAATGCACGTCTGGTGAGATGATCAGCGTCTTGGAGACAGGATTGTAGACCTTGTAAGCCTTGTGTTCAATGCCATAGCCTAGGAAAATGTCGCTTGTTGAAGTGAGTTTTTTTTCTAGTTTTAGAGGGGATATGGACGCCATGGAAGGTGCGCTAATCCATTTGAATTCCACTTTGTGCAAGAACCCTTGACAATCCTGGACCTCAACATTGGCAAGCACTTAAACGTGTCTTTTGGTACTTACGAGATATGTTTCCTTACAGTCTTAAGGCCAAGAGTCAAGCTTACTGGGCTGGCTTTGGCTATATTGTTTAGCCTTCGGTGTTGGGCCGGGTGTCGTTGAGGAGGCGGCAAAGCCAGATGGCCTTTTTGCATGCGGAACTAGCCTCCGCCTCACAGCTGGAGCAGGCAACGACGCTCTGCTTCTTGCTGCCAATTGCATTGTAATCACAATCATCACAAGATTAATTCCCGGACGAAACACGCACCACGCTGGGAGACACGTCCAGTTCTTTCCATGTTATGCAATCTTAATTGAACATCACAACAGCCTGGAAATCGAGTCCGCTGCTTCATCCCACCAAACAATCTGATCTCGTGCACAGCATGAAACGAACATTCTCTGTGCCTCTCCTGATAGAGCCATACAGGACCTTCTCATGTCCAGCCAGCCACTCGATTATTATATGCAGCACACTCAAATACATCCAAGTAAATCTTGAAATCCTCGCAGAGTAGGCTAAATGAGTCTGCTTGAGGAGGGCTTAAGTGAGTTGGCAAGGTGTAGTTTTGGTCTTTCCCTTGAACATTGTAAGATCATGGACCTCACGTCACTACAGTGTCACCTTTAACTCATTGTAACGCCCCATAAAGGGATTACTGCGTTTGCTCAAGTCCTCGATGGGAGCGTGGAAGGTGATAGCGCCTACATCAGCTCCGTGAATCGCAACAAGGATTTCTTTCTTCTCATGACAGGGGATTTTAGGATCGCGCCAGGCAGGGATCACTTCGTCTGCATGATCGATATCTTCGGCCGTGGCAGGGAGAATGCCGAGGAATTGCTGCGTGCCATGCCGTTTGTGCCGGATGCTCTGATTTGTAGGGCTTTGGTGGCATCTTGCCGATCGCATTACGATATGTTTCGGGCATTGGATCGACATATATGGCAAATCGCTCCAAGAGCGTGTTTAAAATGGAAATTGGCGGGAAAGCGATGTGTTTGTTTTCTATTCTATCTAGCTGTGCATACTATCGAAAGGTGGAAAAAGAATTTATTTATATATGTAACTTCTTTCCATTCAGTCAAGTCAGCCTCCCAACCTTTGGAGAAACTTTCAAGTCATGCCGATGAGCTCTCTCAACTTCTGGATGAGACCACGGTCGTCAATCTGGAACGCTTTTGCGATCACGTCGTCGTTGATTGGAGGACTGGAATCAAACACCGCCTTGGCCACCTGAGTCGCCCCGGGGTTTTGGCTGTTGAAGCCAGCCATTGCAACCGCAGGCTCCTTTCCAACGTTGAGCTGGAAGTGAATGAGTCCCCGAGGGAAGACGAACAGATCTCCAGGATAGAGCATTTGGGCGAAGAGCTTGTTGTCCGGCAAGGTGGTGACGAATCCGACTAAGAGGTTCCCGTGCACGAGGAAGAGCAACTCGGATCCTCGGGGATGGACGTGGGGGGGATTGGTGCCGCCGGGAGCATAGTCGATGCGGGCGAAAGCTACACCAAAGGTGTTGAGACCGGGGAAATTGTTGACACTCGCCAGCGTGACGTTGGAGCCGAGCTTGTTGTCGGTGTTCCCGGGAGTCGCCAGCAGGCTCGACTTGAAGTCCTCGGCTTTCACATCGGCGGCCGCCTTGCAGACGACGCCGTTCACTTTGATCTTGGAGCCATTGTCTGCAACGCAAAAGTCCTGCAGCATATCTTCATCCGCAGCATGTACAAACAAGATGGAGCTGATTGCTAGGAGGAAGGATAGAACAAAACGAAGATGAGCCATCTTGCGAGCTTGGAAAAGACTGATGGAGCTATATGAGGGAGGGGCAGGCATTTTATAGCCAGAGGAGGGGAGGCGAGGTCCTTTGGATGACTTCGTCGTGAATCGTGCACGATTTTAGGTACACGGTCTTCTGTTCCCTTCTATTTCATTTTTTACTCTTACTGTCCGCGTAACACAATCTGATTTGTTTGCTGCCAAGTCGTCTCGGAAGTTTTCTTTTACCGGGCTTGTCTAGAGCCGTCAAAATCATCTTTTCTTAGATGATGACGACCTTGGTTTTGATGGTAGGAACCGGTCTCAGTGAAACTCGAGTTTTACACGGTCTTGGTAAAAGCTTGACACTAAATTGCTTTATTCTCCAGAGACTTTTTATATGTGGAGTTTTAATGGAATTATTATGGATTGTGTAGGTCCATTGCTGATACAAATAAACTATGGGTATATCGACCAAAGGTACGTCTATGTAGGTTATCAATTTTGCAGACAATTATGTTGTCAGAAGGATACTTGCTCACGTAGTCATGAGATATATATAGTCATAGTCATTGTGATTATTGCTTGCATCATTGTCATGGGCAAAATAGAATGTTTATTGCTGCCACTTTATTAATCAGTTTAATGAAATAAACTTATGATATTAAAAAGTTTTATAATTTGTCCCACCATTGCAATCTAGGAAAGCATCCAGTTGGGGTGGTGGGAGTGAACTGAGAAACCCAATAAGGTTTAGACTTTGGGTTAAGGCATGACATTTTTGCCTTGAGTAGATTCAAGCTCCATGAGAAAGATCTAACAAGTATTGAGCAAAAAGATCTCACCTAGCTTGCCTTGTCCTTTGTAACAAGTAGCTCACAAATCCACTCATCCACTCATTATTTGGCAACTTAGAAATAATATAAACTTCCATTTTACTCAAAGTAGTTGATGGAGTTAGAGGGTTCTTTAGTTGCTGTTGAGCTGACTTAGAAGATGTTTCTTGAGGAGCATCCAATAGCTAAGTATCCAAAGGCCATTTGAATTGTCATTCATATCACTATCTATACAAATGGACTAGTTGGATTTTGAGTTGAAATAACTATAACCAAAGGATCTCCAAGAATCTCACTATCCTAGCTAAGAAGATTATAGCTTCTTCCAAGCTCCAAGCTCCTACTAAACTAGCTCGTAAAATTGTCCATATTGCTACTCTTGCTGCAAGCTTTGGCACCATGCCAATCTAAAAGTAGGCCTAGGCCTTAGCCTCATCCATGAGCACAAGAAGGGTCTAAAACTCTAAAATCTTTGCTATTTTTGTGTGCCTATAAACCTGTAATGTGAAAGAAAGAAATAAATAAAGGATAAAAAATAAAGAGAAAAGAAGGGAAGAGTGGAGTGGATGCTTGCTATTGCACTTGCTTGACTTGATCTTGCACTTTGCTTCAGCTAAATATAAACAATTACATAAAAATTGAGAGAGAAGAGTAACTTAAAGTCCTTCAATCCCCCAAAAGGCTTTTGTTAAGGTTGTGAGCAAGGATAGGCTTAATATTGCTTGAGTACTTTAGATCTTGAGTATGTGGATATGTGGAGAAGGGAGAAAAAAGGCAAGCTCGAGGATTCAAGTTTAGGGAAGTAAACTTGAGAGGTTCAAGGTTAGGACTGTATTCTTAACCTTAACGTGAGTAGTAGCGACTATAAAAGTAGGACTTAGAATGTTTTTAGACTTATCCCTAATACAAAATACATTGCAATACATCATCATTCTGCCTATCTCTCTTTGGCTCTTCATGGCAATGGCAATGTCTTACTTACCCACCGCCTTCAAGGGATCAAAGGCATGGGACTAGCACCTTCAAGCACATGTTCACAGTCTCTACTTGGCTTGGCACAAGCAGGTAAGTGCATTCATCTTGTTGTGTTGTTTTAGATTTAGGGATTAGATTAGATTTGAAACTCCTAGGAAGATCTCATATGGACGTTTTCCTCCTAGTTTAGAGATTCCAGGAGTTTTCACTGGCAACCACAGTGGGATAGAGCAGATCAAGACGCTCATTTCCCCAAAACTTCAAGGAAAACAGACTAAAGACGCACAAGAAAATGGCATAAGAAGAAAAAAAAGACCCAAAAATCAAGAAAAACAAGAGCGTAAAACAAAAACGGTGGAAAATTATGAAGGAATGAAGAAAAAAATGGATCATAAGACCAAAATATAAAGAACACTTGAAGATTGAAGCCACCCAAGTTGTGGAAAACTTGGAGCGTACGCGTAACTGTTTTGGCAAGAGGTTGAAGAAAGTGAATATTCCAAGAATCTGTGATAAGGAAACAACCAAGGAAAAATTCTAGTGGCTGGAGATGGAGGAAGAATGAAAAAGCACGACTGCCCATTTGGAGACACAAGCTATACAAGATATGAGGACTGCCTTTTGTGTGGTTTCAAAAATTATGCAAAACCATACAAGCAATGCTATTCAAAATGGCAATGCGACACTTGCAAGCAAGCAAAAGTAAGACTCCAAATCAGGGATGAAAATGCCACAGCGGAGGAGAGAAGAAAACAAGAAGAAATACCCCAAGAAAACGACACCAAAAAGAAAGATGATAGTTTAGAACAAGTAGCAAAACAAAGCTTTAGCTGCTTACGAAAACTACAAGAAACAATTTTGCAACTCTTTTACAAATTGTCTAGCAAATAGGAAGAATGCAAAAATGAGGAAATGTTGAAAGAAAAATATGTTTACTTCGATTTCTTTGCAACTCGAAGAACTCTGACTTGGGGTGTATCGTGGACACCTCTTTCAACAAACAATTGTCGAATTCCTAGGCATACACAAACATGAAACTTTTCAACCATTAACGCTTGCTTTCAACACTGATTTGACGAGAGTCATAGCAACAACAAAGTATAGCACCTTTGAACCACGAGTTCGTTGGTTTGTGGACACTCTTAGATTTAGAGATTTCGAAGAGAATGCGGAATTACTTTACCGACTTCTTCAAAGTCCTCTTCGTGTAATGCTACCAACAAGCACTCTTATTGAACAATATA